TCGCTATATTTTCTTTTCTTTTGTTTTTTTAAAAAGTCCGTCGTCTCCTTTAATCGTTGGTTAGTCGCAAGTTTTCACGCATGATGAATTTCACCTGTGCAATTTCGACCTTTAATCAAGATTTGTACAAGAAGAAATATATTTCTACTTTTTCATTACCGCAACTAACGTGTCTCTTATTTTCAAACGATCACACGATGCTTTCTTCTTCCTGAATAAGTTTGCGAAGGATCAAAGGAACCTTTTCTTCTTTTTCTTTTTTTTTTTCTCACTCGTAGCCTGAATCAAAAGTGTGTGAAAATCGATGAACGATGTTGAACCGACGAAGAGAAAAGCGTTAGTGGGATTCGCAGGATCTGTGTGTGTGTGTGTGTGTGTGTGATTATTGTTGAGAGAGAGTGAGTGAGAGTGAGAGAGAGAAAGAGAGACCAAGAAAACGTACTGAAACCATGAGTAATCAACCGGATGATCGGCCTAGTTAAAATTAAAAAAAAAAGATAAATTGTGCAATTGTACAAGTCGTTACAAAGACAAAATAATTGCTAAGGTAAATTATGTAGGTTTTGTACTCTCCCCGGTAGCGAGAAGAAGAAAAAAATTGAAAGAGAGTTGTATATACATATATCTATCTATCTATACATATGTATGTATATATATATATATATACATATATATGTATGTATATATAATAATAGTGATAATAAGGACTACGAGAGCCAACGCATGTGACTAGCAGCGATTGAGACATGAGTGATAACGAAATTTACGAGAATACATATGCCACCCCCGTTCGGCTAATATATAGAAGAGGAGAAACACAAGAGGGATGTGTAAAAAATTGCGAACACTGCATCAATACTGTACACAATGTATAATCAACCACTTGTCGCGTACGTTACCTGTTTTACCGATGATAAACACCTGCGTTTAGTAGATGTGCGTAACAGCATATTGTAGAATCATTTAGACGTTACTACTGCAAACACACGTATACATTATATACCGACACTTCATCATACTTCAAAGGATCGTAGATATACACCGTAGTATATACATCTTTGTAAAATACGTCTCCCGTTCATTCGATAATTTTTTTTTTTTTTTTCACCTGAGAAGAGATATACATATGAATATGTGTTAACGCGAAGTTTGAAGTGCATGATGAGGGGCGAAGGGAAAGGAGGAAGAGGAGGAAGTCTGTGGAAGTGACACTGAACTGTGAAATATTCGTGAATACGTCTAAATTCTCTGGAATTGTTGTTATATGTGTGTGTGTATATACATATATACACATATATAAACAG